CCACCTTTTTTCTGTGTTGTCTAGTATTTTAGGGGACTCCTCCCCACTCTTTAAAGCCAGTCTATTGTTGATAGAGTCAGTTTTAGGTGTAGGGCAGCTCTGGCCATGCAGGGTGGGTATTTGAGGTATGCATCTGTGAGGTATATACCAAGGAGCGGAGACTGAGTTCTGAGACAAACACCACTCTCCTGATTGGATACTGGCTGAGTCTCATGAAATACTTACATCAAAGCGCACTGCAGTGGTACACGGTAGTTGTGGTGTTACACATGGTTACCAATCCATGCCATCTTCCTAGGTAAGTATCTGGTATTTGGTTTTGCCAGGCTTTTTTGTTTTAACCATTCTGGTGTTGGGGTGTTAGTGAGTTCATTTCTTGGGTGAATAACTATATTGAGTAGTTTTATGTTTGCTTGTTTTGTGAAGTGCACATTTGCTTACATTTGCAAAGGCATTGTCCTTCATTTGTGAAGTTTTTATATAGACCATTTCTACCATATAGGTATTCGTAGAGCAAACTTCCTGAGCTGTAGTTCTTTTGAGACTGCTGATCCTCCTGCCTGCACCTTCTGAGCGCCAGCATTGCAGGACACCTTGGTGGTGTTTCAGTAATGGTTACTAACTTCCATTGATTCATCTTTCTCTAGGTTGAGTGGATTGGATGTGCGCAGTTGACCACGTGAGAGAAAACATGCTCTCTCAGCACCTGTTTCATTATTTAAAAACTTACTCTAGGGTGGAGTTTGCACAAGCCATGGCAGGAGCTTAGATCAGAAGACAGCTTCCAGGACTCAGCTCTCCCCTTCCACCACGTGAGTGCCAGGATCAAACATAGGTAAGCACCTTTACCCACACTGACTCATCTCGGCAGCCTTAGTTTACTTTCCTGTATTATTTTAGTTCTAAAAATGGATCCTTGTGTTGATGGGAAGGAGTCAGTATTTCTCCTCTCTCCGGGGACATCAACGGCGTGTCACCTGAAGGAAAGACAGACCTTTCCCTTACCCAACTGCAATGCTATCTTTCATAAACTAAACCACGTCTAACTGGGACTCGGACCTCACAGGCCTGCTTGTGTGACCTTGGGCAAACACCACTGCATTAATTTCGGCACTTTGCTTGTGATCAGGCTCTAACTTTGCCTTCCACTTCACAGTGGTTTCGCCATTTAGGGCTCTCTGCATTTCTGTAATAGTTGTTGACTTTCTTGCTTTACCTCTTGTTAGCATTTGGAAATTGGCTATCCTCCAAAAGCACGTGTAGTAAATGGCTGGTCCCAGCAAGTGTGGCAGTACACGCCTGTAATGGTAGCATAAGGGAGGCAGATATAGGAAGACTGTGAATTCTAGGCCAGCCTGGACTACATGGCAATACCTGCCTCAAAACAACCCTAAATGCAGGGAGAGGAGGCTCAGTGGTTGAGAGCCAGTAGTAAACATACCTCTGCCATACTGAAAGGCTGAAAGGGCTGGAACCAGCACCCAGGGCTGCAGTGACCACACCATTTACCACTGAAAATAAAAAAAGCTCCTTGTCAGAAAAGGATTTCAGATGCACAGTAGGGCAGATTCAGACATAGAACACCTCCAAACGAAACACAGTTTTAAAAATGTACATAGGCTTGGGAGAAAGAGGAAAACGATTATAGACAGTTATAAAAAGAAAGTTTTAAAAAATAAAACAAAGTCTTTAAGAGACAGTAAAAATAAAACAAATAAGCCACATAAAAATGGAAAATACACAGAGAATCTGGATTATGTGTATTATTGTGTTTTCTTTGGACTGAATGAGTCAACTGCTAAAACACACTTGATTCTGGGAGCTGCTAAGATAAGCCAGCATATATATTTTAAAGGTATCTTGACTTCAAAACTTGAGTCTAAAGATGTCACTTTGCAAAGAGGTTCTCTATGGATTCCTTCCAGGTTAATATGGTTTGATGGATCAAGACACCACAAAAGGTCTCCATGAACTTTACAAATACTTTGCCCAACTAACAGCAAGAAGCAGTTTGTAAAAAACAATAGCCAAATCCCCGAAATGATTGTTTATAAATGCTTGTTTTCACTTAAAGGGGGTTGACTTTAAGTAGTTAATGGTCACAGTAAATCTCTAAAAAAAAATGGGGGGGGGTAATTGAAGAGACAAGACTAAAGCCATTTTAAACCCAAGGCCCATCTTTGTGGGATTTAGCAGGCACCCCATTCCAAGTACCTGTAAATTCAGAGAAAAGTCACAACCGACCCAAAAACTGCCTGGCTGCCCAGAGACTGGAGGATAGCCAATGGAAAGATAGACAAACTTTTTTTTTAAAACAGTTTTTGGGAGGTTTTGTGGAAAGCTACAAAAATCCTTTCTTGATTCAGAGCCAACTATCCCCTACCCAATCCTACCCAATCAGGTAACAGGAAGGCATACAACTCCCTGCTTGGGGTTTTTCCCTTTAAAGACCCCCTGCACTGTGAGCTCAGGGCCATTCTCCCTCACCCACTGCATCAGTGTGTGGGACAAAGCAGCCCCTGCTTGCAAGCCTGTAAAACAATAAAGAAACCTTGTGTAATTGTATCAGAAAGTCGGCTCTGTGGTGATCTCATTGGGGGGTCTTACAACTCCAGCATAACAATATGGTATAGAAATGAATACTTTACAATGGTATGGACTTTGGTTTATGGATACAAATTTAAGGTCAGTTTTGTTATACGTATATTTCTACTCTTATTTAAAGTATTATGTTTATATAGCTCATTTAAAAATGTAATGCATAATTTAAAATTACAAATTAAATAGTCATTTATAATAGTCAGACTTGTAATTGTGTTAGTTAGGTTTTCAATATATACAGAGATATAATTCAGTTAGATAATTTTCAATACTTCAAAGACTACAGAATATGGCATTTAAAATATTTTAAGAACTTAGACTTTTTTCAACAGTGAGACATGTCTGCTTCTGGCAGCACCAATCTACTTCAAGAGGATGATGGGCATCAAAGAGGCTCCTTATAGAGCTTGCCTGAACTGCTTGACAGTATATTATATAAACTTTACATGCAGAACCCACAGAAAAATGACTGCTGAACTTGCCAAAAGGTGAGACGGTCCTTCAGGGTTCCTGCTTCATGAGTATGTCAGACATTCTGCAGGACACAGAAGAAAGTGACTGACAAGCTGCCAATATAAGCTAAACAGTCTTTCAAATTCCTTGCTTTATGGAAAAGTCTTCCAGATACTATGGGCCTGTAGGCTGAAGATGGGTGCCCCAACATAACAGAACTCTGGGTGACTGTTCAGGCAGCAAGACATCTCTGTCAATTCCAGAGTTTTACAAGTCACTTACAATTCACTTCCTGTTTACTTAGGTAATATTATATATCCTTCTGGGGTCTCTGATGGAATTGAAGATATAGTTTTCCTTAGTTAAAATAAAAGATAAATTAGATATAAAACATTATACTCATAAAGATAAAGTATTTTCTTTAATTTTGATTAATACAAAGACTAAATATTATAATTGTAATTCTTTCTTGATAACTGTTTTGTTTTATGTAATTTTACTGTTATAGTTAAAAGCCTTTTTATTTTTTATTTAGACGGAAAAGAGGAGATGATTTGGGATTACCCTCTGTATACTGTGAATATGTTTTATTACCATTGGTTAATAAAGAAGCTGTTTTGGCCTATAACAGGGCAGGATACAGGTAGGTGGGAAAACTAAACCGAATGCAGGAAGAAAGAAGGTGGAGTCAGGCAGATACCATCTAGCTACCGAGTGAGAAGATGCCAGACCCTTACCAGTAAACCATAGCCTTGTGGCGATACACAGATTAATAAAAATGGGCTAATTTAAGATAGGAGAGCTAGCTGGGAATATGCCTGAGCCGTTGACCAAACAGTACTGTAATATAGTTTTCAATATATTAATACAGTTTTTTGTGATTATTTGGGTCTGAGTGTCCAGGAAACAAAAAAGCTGTTTGATTACACAAAACTGTCCATAACCCCAGTTCCAGATCTTCTGAAACTGTCACACAGACATACAAGCAGGCAAAATACCAATGAACACAAAATAACAATAAATTATTTTGGGGGAAAACCCTAAATAATCAAAGGCTTGTTTCCCAGAGTGACAGCCTGCAGAGACAGTGAAAAGGTGGGACCTAGGCAAGACCCTAATACCACTTGGGCCACGCTCTCGTGGGATCCTAGTGCCACTTGGGCCAAGCCCTCACGGGCAACTGTGGAATGCCAGTCTTTCCCTCCGTTTCTTCCAGGCCACGAGTGAGCACGGTCACTGTAAAACACAAGCCAGACATGATGCGCTTGCTGTCTTGCCACAGCAATAAAGGCACAAGCTAACTAATCACGGACTAAAACCCCGAGGTGAGCCACAGCAAACCACCTGGATTCTGAATGGGAAGGCACTGAAACTATACATCCACCTGGGAGAATTCACATCAGAGCAATACTAAGGGCTCCAAAGTATACATTACGTTTATCAAAACTTCAGGCTGGCAATATGGGCTGGTGGAAAGGGGGATTGTCCAAGCCTGACGACCTAAGTTGGATCCCCAGAACACAATGAAAAGAGCTCCTGCAGGTGCCGTCTGACAGCCACAAGCACACTGAAGCTTGTGCATACAGCCCCACCCCCCATATAATATTTTAAAAGATCTTCAGCATTTTCCCCAGTAATGCTTTAGAGTTGCTGTGTGCATAGTTCTTACAGTTCCCGTTAGAGCAGTCTGGGAGCACCTGACCACTCCTTACGCTGAGTATTCATTCAGTGCTTTTGCACACACTCGTGCTTAGACAGCAGTGGCACCAGCCTCATCTCCAGTGACATCATTAATTTTAATAATCCCTTTGCAGACTCTTCTGTATTTTCTAATCACATGAACATCGAAGTAAAACTCAGTCCGACCAATCACTGTTTCTTTGCCTTGCATTTATACACAGCTTCAAGCTGCAGCAAACCAGCTTTAAAACACTCCCAAACAGAGGATCACTTATCAGAGTTAATGGTTCTCAAAAGCAGAGAGACCAGGGAAGGAACGCCCTGAGAATGAGAACTGGAGAAGTAAATACTGGGACACAGCAACAGGTTAAACAGAGGACGTTCTGTCACATAAAACAAGATTTCCCAATTATTTTGGGGTAATTTACTTTCTAATCATCCTTTTTTAAACATCTAAGTAATGTTCAGGCAGATAATACTTAATTGCACATAGAATAAAAAGATACAAACAGTCATGGGGGAAATATCAAGTGTTTACCTATACTGGGTAAACTATATGCAAAAGGTAAAAATACATAACCAATCATATACATTAGTTTCAAGTATTTATAACTTAACTCAAAACCCCTAAAAAGAGTTCAGACCATAGACTTTGATAATATATCATTAATTACACTTTTAATTTCTTTTAAAGATTTATTTATTCACTATGTATACACTTTAAATTTAAACGTTAATCATGGGCTGGGATGTTGATGTAGCACGCATGAGGCCCTGGGTTCAGCACTAGTTACATGATGCTGCCCTGCTGTTCTCTCTGTATCGCAGAACTTAGAGAGAGTAAGGGCAGAGACATCAGGAGTTCAAGTTCATCATCAGCTACATAACAATTCTGAGGCCAGCCTGGGATACATAAACACATACAGAAAAATAAAATGTTATTCGTAATAGTCTTAAAATAAATCTAATCTCCAAAATAACCTGTCTTATAATAGGATTTAATGGTATGTGATGTTTAAGTCATATGGCTAACAGCAGAAATATATCAATTACAGAGTCCAAATCAGAGTGTCACAGAGATCTAATAAATTAAATCGCCCAATAATAAAATAATTTCTGCCTTCAAACTTATAAGAACACTTTATTTTATCAAAGGCCAGGCTCAAACATACAAGAACAAAGTATCTGTTCATAGCCTGGCAGTGGTAGCACACACCCTTAAACCTAGCACTGGGGAGGCAGAGGTAGGCAGATCTCTGTGAGTTCGAGGCCAACCTGGTCTACAAGAGCAAGTTCCAGGACAGTTAGGACTGTTGCACAAAGAAACCCTGTCTTGAAAAACAAACAAACAAAACAAAACAAAACAAAAAGAAAGATCTGTTCATATGCCAAGGGCCAAGGCTAAAACAATAAACTAAACAATAAATTAATCCTTTCAAAAGGAATAGGAACCATTAAATTTTCTTCTTGGGTTTGAGAGGCCCAAGATCCTTAAAGAGTATACAGACAGCAGTGTTGGAATTAAGCAAGGAGTTTGGAAAGAAATCAAATAGTTCACCATTAATGCCACAATACATCGTCAGCACAGCCAAAATCAGTTGAAGTATCTGACTGTGAATACTGCATTTAGTAAAACGTTACACTGTAACTAAGTACAGTAGATACCTGAAAATCTCTCCAGCAACTAAGTACAGCAGATACCTGAAAATCTCTCCAGCATGGGGGCTTAGACAGAGCCTGCAGCGCACAATACTGTATTAACTGCAGAAACGTCCACAATAAGCAACCGTCTCTGGAAGTCCTGTGAATGGCAATATGGAATATAAAAAGAACAGAGAGGTAAGCCAGCTTCAGAACAGGTGCCATCAGTACAGGAACTGCAGCTCCAGGCACTCACGTAAGCTGCTGACTTAGACGGCCCGCTGTCTTCTTTTTGTTAATATGTGCCAGTGCCGAATTACAGAGAATAACACAACAAAAGGTCTCTGTGAGGACAGAGCCTGCTGTAGTCACACACATAACTAAATATGGCTTTTGGAAGAAAGACTTTTACAAAACAAAAACTTTACACTTGAGAATTGTGCATATAAATAGCATATTAAAATTTAAGGGGATCGTGTGGACTGGTGATTATTCCACGGCAAGTTCATTAATTAGATTTCCTGGATCCTTTCCCCAAGAGATTCTCACATGCAGATTTTCTTTCAACAATCAAATATTCCATCTAATTTTGCGTATGCCATCTGAAATGTTCCCATTTTAAAATCAGGACCTCAAAGACAAATTTAAACCAATGACATCATACATCACAAACATCCCAGGGTCAGCCAGTGTGATGGAGCTGGACACTGTCCTGTGCCAACTAGCTTTCGTCATCTCTTTGTAAAGGTATTATCTCAATTTCTTTGGCTATTCTTTCGGCTAATGCTTTATTATTTGCAGCAATTATTCTCCGAGACATCAAATCAAATGGTCCACCTGAAATCAAATCAAACATGGAAAACCAATTAGGAGAAAAGCAAGTGCACAGCTGTATCTCATGGCCATTTTAATAGGCTTAGTTTTCAAAGAGAAAAAAGAATCTATCACTCGATGACAGCATTTCAGTCTTGAGATGATGGAAGTTTCTAGGCATCTTTTCTAGTAAGTACCAACATGAGGGATTTCAAGTTGGAATGCCATCCTCCCTTTTGGTTTCTTGTGGGCACTCTTACACTTCTGCACTGTCTGAGCATCTGCACATACACACACTGACTCCGATTCTCTTGCACATCACTCTCTTCCCATTTCCTGCTTCACCTTGCGACATCTCCTTAGTAAACTCTTGGAACCCAGGCTTATTCTCTCCACTTTCTCCTACTGCTCAAAGTTAATATTTAACTGACCTAGACCAGAGCAAGAGACACGGTGGACAAAGCCCGCTGTCCACTCTCACTATGGCCTCTTCAAAGTTCATGGAACAAGCTTTGGAAAAGAGTAGACCTCCCAAAGCCTCTCAGGATCTCCTGGTATTCATCCTTGAAGAGTCACAATCATTTCTCAGTGTGTATTATAACTAGCTACTGTCTTTGCTTCTATTTCTACTGTCTGATTTTATAGAAAATTGTACAGCCCATTTTTCTATCAGGACATGTATCAGCCATCTTTTTAGAGCCCACACAGAAAGGAAGCCTACAGATGTGAAGAACACGCTTCGGGGTGCCATGACTTCACCTGTCACATCCATCAGCACTCCGCCTGCCTCGGTGACGATGACGCCAGCTCCTGCCATGTCCCAGCAGTGGATCCCCATCTCATAGTAAGCATCCGCTCCTCCAGTTGCCACAAGGCACATATTAACAGCAGCTGTTCCAACACTCCGGATTCTAGCGCGAGAAGTAAAGATAGGTGGGAAAAACCCCTTAGAAAACGTATTCCTGTTTAAGGTCACTTTCAACGCCAACTGTGGTTGCTCCCTTCAATCTAGAGAATAACTGTGGATAGAAGTATTCTCCATATACTTTAAACTTTCTCTATAAAAATGTTCTCTATATACTTAAAAATGAAGTATATAAAATTTAAATATCCTTGCTGTTCTTGCATGGACCTGAGTTCAGTTCCCAGCACTCACATGGTGGCTCAGTTCCAGAGGGATCTAATGTCCTCTTCTTCTAGCTTCTGCAGTCACTGCACGTATGTGGTGCACACACATATATGCAAGCAAACATTCATACACATAAATAAAATCTCTTAAAATGTAATCACGATGTACTGTGTAAATTAGGAATTTATCACAAAGCTACCATCTAATAAGACAAACAAACATGATAACAAAGTCTTTAAGGGGAGACAAAACAAAATACCAGAGAGAGCCAGGCATGACAGTACATACCTGTAATCACACTACCTGAGAGAGGCTGAAGTGGAAGGACCAGGAGTTCAAGGCCAGCCTGAAGTACATTGTATGATTTTGTCTCAAAAAACAAAACCAGACAAACACTGAAGAACAGTGACCCTTGTGTGCATTCCGCATTCCTGTCTGGACCCCAGCACCATTTATTCTACATGGACAATACAGCACAACCATCTCCAGGCCGTGTGAGACCCCAGCACCATTTATTCTACATAGACAATACAGCACAACCATTTCCAGGCTGTGTGAGACCCCAGCACCATTTATTCTACATAGACAATACAGCACAACCATCTCCAGGCTGTGTGAGACCCCAGCACCATTTATTCTACATAGACACAGTGCAACCATGTCCAGGCCGTGTGAGACACTATGCTACTGTTCACTGCCAACTAGAAAGGCCTCATGGTTGTGCCTGAACCCACAACAGGCCAGCTGGGCTCTGCATGAACATTTGCTTTCTACAATTAATAGGAGCTTTAAAATGCTCAATAATGTCAAGGTCAAAACAAAATGGAAGACTATGAAACAACTTCCAAAAAATGGATGGGCAACGAGAATTAGGCTGTGTATACTGACACACACTTAATCTCTGCACTCGGGAGGACAAAGGAAATCATGGACTCATGCTAAAATTGGTGGTCAAGTCTTTGCACATTAAGTTCAAAGCCAGCTGGGGCTGCAGTGTGTAAGAACGACCCTCAAAAACAGAGGGCTCTCAGGATGGCTCAGTGAGTCAAGGTGTTGTCACCAAGTCTGACGACCTGAGTCCAATTCCTACAGCCCACAGCGGAGGGGGAACTGACTCCTAAACACCGTCCTGTGATCTTCATGGTTGAACTGAAGCACAGGCAGAAACAGAAGCACTCGGGTTTGATGTGGTTATGTTACTGAATCTTTTACTAAGAAATAAACATGGTAGAGCAGCAGTTCTCAACCTGTGGGCCACAACTCCTGTGGCAAATCTCTACCTCCAAAAATATTCACACTACAATTCTTAACAGTAGCAAAATTATGGTTATAAGGTAGCCATGAAATAAAGCCTGTTATAGACGTACAGAGTGCATATGGAACAAAGAAAGCCCAGCGTGAGGACCTGCAGTGAGGGTGGCAGCACTGGAAGTTAAGAGCCGCTGCTCTCGAGTGGGGAGGAGGAGGCCGCTGCTCTCGAGTGGGGAGGAGGAGGCTGAGGCCAGCCTAGGCAGAAGAGGACACTGTCTCAAAAACAAACACAGCAACAACCACGACAGAAAGGAGCCAAGGAGAAGGAAACATAATGTCCGTAAGTTACTTCTTACTCAAATGTTCTTTTTCCTTTTTTATTTGTTTTGATTTTTTGGGGGGCGGGAGCTGTTGTTGTTGTTGCTGTTGTTTTGAGACAGGATTCCACTAATGCTTCAGCCTCCTGAATGCTGAGGTTACAGGTGGGGATCACCGTATCTGCTTCAAATTCCTATTGTAACTAATATTTCAACCTCTGGAAATAGGCAGAGAATCATTCTCTCAAAGTTTATACTTTTTCAAAAGTACTGGAGAATTGATGAATTGTGTGGGTATTTTTTTTTTCTGTATCTAAAAACAAACAACAACAAAAAACCAAAACCTAGTATCTTTCACAAAGCCAAATTTCAAAAAGGACAGGAATGACATGACACCTGTCAGGTCCAAAGTGTGCTCCACTCCCTGCTTCCCCACACCCCAAAAAAGAACAAACCCACTGACTCATCCAACATGGAGCCTAGGCCCAGCTCTACCTGGACTATAGGATGTCTGGCAGTTAGACATAAGCCAACAACCCTCAGGAACTTGTAAAACCAGTCTCCATCTGCCAAAAGGAGTCATTTCCCTTATCTGGCAGAAGGGACACAGGCTTCACTGGTGTGTATCCACCTGTGGCTATGTGCCAAAGGCCATGCCAGGTTCCAGGCTCCCTCAGTCCCTACTCACAAGTACACATTTCAAAGCCCCACGCCAATCCCTTGACCCTTCCGTCCCTGACTCCGTGCCCTCCTCAACACGATTCTCACTGCACTCTGTATCCCTGGGTGCCCTTCTGTTCTCTCATGATCTCCAGTATTGGCTCCTACTCCCAGCCATGTTCAGTCTACTCTCTGCTGTGGACACCTCCAGGTGCCCCTGGCTCTTCCTTCTCTCAAATGCACAATCAAACCTTAACCATACAATGGGCAGTCATGTAGGCAGCTTCTTTGTCACCTCCTCCTTGAACAGAATACCTTTGACTTGGAGTGTGTTTTATAATTTAGCAAGATGGGTCAATCCAATTCCAAATGACAAGGTGAGCTAAGCACAAGGTGATGGCCAGAATCTAGGAACTGAGGAGGCCCAGGCAGAAGCACTGGGAGGCTGATACTATCTGATAAGAATGCCCTAGAGGAAACAATCTGAAACAAAGCCCAGATAAGGGAAATGACTCCTTTTGGCAGATGATAACTGGTTTTACACAAGACAAGGACAGACAAGGACGTGGGGCAGTGAGAGCTCACGTTGTAGGAGGAATGACCAGGACTGCTCACAAAGGGCCTGTGCTGTTTACTGTCCACAGTTAAAGAGCCACTCTAAAATAGGCAGTGGCAGAAGCAACTTCCAGCAGCGCCTGTCATTGCTTCAAGGACAACAGACTCTCAGTTACCTTACTCCCTTCTACACAGACCACAGATTTAAAGTCCCAAATCACAGTCGGCAGCATGGTCAACACATACTTGGAACATCTTACTCCTAAAAGACATGGTAAATACCGAAGAAGAGAATGATCTGGAAGTCATGGCTATGGTCATATCTCCACCTCGCTGTGTGATCTGCACGTGTCTGAGCCTCTGAACTCAGCTATACACAAGGCTCGGTTACTAGACGATCCTTGGTGAATTCTTAGAGACATCCCTGAGGATGTTTCAGGAGAAAAAGTAGCAGAGTTGGCAATAAGAGAGAATCCTAAAATTCTCTTGTTATTCAAATGCCTGTCTTTATTGTTTGAATGAGTTCTCACTATGTAACCCAGTCTGCTAGCCTCCGTTCATTTGGCAGTCTCTTATGTAGTTCAGCTGCCTTTGAACGATTCTCTACAGTCCTCCTGTCTCAGCTTCCTAGAGGCCAAGGTTACAGGTATGCTCGACCACATCTTATAACAGTGGCTTTTTAAATGATAATTTTTACTGAGACAACTATAATAAAGGTCAGAAAAAAACAACAGCTATCACAGCACAAAGCAGGATGAAAGTAGAAGAGCAGTATCAACTCATTAATAACTTTGCCTATTAAAAACATTTATACATTAACTTATAAATTCAACTCCATTCTATGTTTTGCACAAGGGATAGGTTTAAAATGGAGAGACAAAAATAGAGAGACAAGGCTTGGCATTGTGGCACACACCTCTAAGCCGAGCATCAGGAAGACTGAGGCACTGGGAAGGCCGAGGCAGCAGGACCGTGTTGGGAAGGCCGAGGCAGCAGGACCGTGAACTCAAGGCCTGCCCGAGATACACAACAAAACTACGTGGGAAACATCAGAAACAAAACAAACAAAATTCATCTAAAACCAGGAGGAAGATATTCAAGGTCAATTCTAGCCTACACACAAACAAAATGGACTCAGACGTACACGAAGGGCACTCGTGCATGCGCACACGCCAGCACGCATGAGCGCGCATGCATTCACATGCAGAGAAAGAGAGGGAGAGAGAGAGAGAGAAATAATCAAAGTGAATCCTTAAAAAAAGTGCAGCTATCTGGCAGTGTGATGGGAATGAGAAGGCTTACCCATGGATGGGAAGGGAGCAAAGCTTTTCCATGTTGGAAAGAACAATCCGCAAAGTCTCTGGCTTTCTGGATGAGCCCAACTCAGTCACCAAGAGTGCTTTGGTAATATCTGAAAAGAGAAGTTATTTCAAATAAACCATTGGATGTCAATAACCAAAACTCTAGAATAAATCTAACACAATTCAGAATAAAATGGGATATTTAAATCCTTTTTCCTAGTTTTATCAAACATTTTCCCATTTTCCAAGCTTTAAAGTGTTAAAACACATAAAATTAGGTATGGTGCTCAATACAACCCTGTAATTAAAAAATAAAAATAAACAACAAAAAAGGAAATGAACAGAAATCATGCCCTCAACCTAAGTGTTTAAGAGAAGGTTATGGCTGGGCAGAATGGCGTGCATCTTTTAACCCAAGTGCTCAGGAGACAGAGACTGGTGGCTCTCTCAGTTCAAGGTCAAACTAGCTTACACAGCCAGTACCCAGTTCCAGGCAGGAGCTACAGTGTGACCTTGCTTCAAAATAAAACAAAACCGGAAGGGAGAGAGGGAGGGAGGGAGGGAGGGAGGGAAGCAGGAAGGATAGAAAGGAAGAAAGGTTGGTTGGTTGGTTGGTTGGTTAGTTTACGAGAGTCCACAAAGATTCCAACCTCCAGACTGTTCACAAGCTTAAAGCACTTGCTAAAGTGCAAGGCTGCTGAAGGTGCAGGCTGGAGATGCAGGACTGACGTGATGGAAGAAAGGTGACATACAATACCAGCCACCTGTCACACCGAAACAGTTCTACTCAGTGAGTGCGTATGTATACACACACACACACACACACACACACACACACACACACACACTTATCAGGGTCCACACTCACACACGTAATCCCTCTCAGATGGCAACCCCCGATCCCACTCCCCAAAAGAAACCCTGTACTACTGAATATGGAAACTTCTCCCACATTCCCTCCAGAGGCCACAGACTATAACAACCATTTATATGGCATCAATAGTGTACTAGCCATAACTAACCTAGAGACAGAGAAAACAAGTGTGTATGGACAGGGTATATGTAAATACATTATTTTATATGAGGAACTTGACCCTCACATAGACTGAGAAACTACTGTGTATCATTCTTAAAGATTCTCAGGTGATTTTTGTTGTTGTTGTTGTTGTTGCTGGGAAAAGGTACATAATTTTTTTCTCTGATAAAGTTTTGCTACAAAGCATAGGTTGCTCTAGAACTTACTTTGCCCAGGCTGGCCTCAAACTCCTGATCCTTCTGCCTCTACCTCCTGAGTGTTGGGATTCCAGGAATATTCCCCCATGCCCAACTGATCTCAGCTTTAACATGCATTATTTATGATTTATTGACCAATAATGGACTGAGTGGCATCCAGTAAAATCCAGAAATTCTAGGAAGGATAAGACACTGTGGCTGAAGCACTATGTCCTGAACCCTTAGAAGAGAAACCCTGACGTAGATAACACATTTCTGTCAACGTCACCTAACACCGAGTGCACTTGCTCCATGCCATCTGCTTCTCCTGCTCCAACTATCACACTAAAAATGAGGTCAGAAGGGGAAAGGAAAAATAGTACAGTCCTGAGTCAGCTAATGTAGCTAAGTGCAGAGGTTACCATACAAACATGTAAACTGCAAGCACACTTGGCTCAGGGCACCAGGCACCGGAGAACACACCTACCTTCCTGTTGTGAGACCCGAAGCTTCTGACCGTTACAAAAGGCTCCTTTTCCCTTCCTGCCAGTATACATCTTATCTTCCACACAGCTATACACAACTCCAAACTCCATCTGCAGAGGGAAACAAGCCTTTTAGCAAACCTCAGTACTTATCAATTAATTGGTATCTGCTTCTGAATAAAGTGACAAGAAAATCTAGAAATACTAACAAACCCTATTCAAACAGCCAAACACAGTAGGTCATCAGACCTCAGTCCCACTCCTCCCTCTCTCCAAGCCTTAGACGCAGGCAGCTTTCTGTATGAACACTGTGTCATCCATTCTCTGACAAACTATCCACAGATCCTCCTTCTCTTCTGGTACCTTCTCACTAAACATCTCCCGTCCATATTGCTCACTTGAATTCTTGCCCCCAATACCTCCATGCTGAATTTAATTGCTAACACAATGGTACCGGGAGGTTTGGCCTTGAAGAGGCAACTGCCTTCTGCCAGGCAAGGATTCAGCCTTCTTCCTCCCCAGCAGCACGAGAGACACAGCCTCAGGAGAACAGCTTCACCAGACACTTCCCTACACCCCGCCCCCACTGTGTGCTGAGTTCCGTCAAAGCAGCCCCTCTCTCCACGCCCTGCAGTCTGCAATCTGCACTGACCAGCCAGTCTCCGGCATGTGTAACAACCTTTGCTGACCCCAAAGGCTTTGCTATAAAGAACTGGAGACGGACGGTCATCCTCAAAGCTCTTCAAGATTTAACTCGAAAGCTCCACGTTCCCTGAGGTGTCCCTTAGAAGTTGACCCCTCAGGCTTTCTACCCATCTTGCACCGCTTCCATTTCCCTTCCAGCACTTCAATTCTCAGGTACTTCCAAGTCCACAGACTCAACTACTAACAATAATGTTGGCTCCAACAAATCCCATTACAGGAGTCTATGTGTTGTAACTGTCTTGCAGAAACCTCTTTTAAAGAGTCCAAAAAACTGTTCTTTGTGGTAAGACTTGTCTTTCTTTCTGGAAAACTTTAAATTTTCTAAGTGGCAACTAACATAGCCAACTTGTAAGACAACTTCTGCTAGGAAGCCGCCCACTGCACAACAGACAGCGCTGGTATATTCTCTTCTGCATTCCTCTACACGCTACCTTCTGCTGAGGACACACCTGACTGCAACAAAGGACGGATTCAAAAGCAGAGACCACATTCTGCTCAGGCTGAGTCTATTGTAAAGGCTGATTTAGGACCACTGGGCATGCTACAGGAACAATGCGGTCTATAAGCAAGGGCTCATTTGTACTAAGTGTGTGTGTGTGTGTGTGTGTGTTGTGTGTGTCGTGCGTGCATGCTGCTAAGGATTCAATTGAGAGGTTTATATACGCTAGGCCCTAGCACTTAGCCTGAGGCTTTTATTTCAGAAATTTCTGAAATACACTTTTGTTCATGCTGATCAAATGCAGTGCACAAGTTGCTTGAAGATAGCAGTCAAACAGCAGGGAACAAAGAGACCACAGTAGCTAACAGATTTTACTCTACTGGGTTTGGTATGAAAGTATTCAATTATGTCTAAGTTCCTAACATACCCTGCTATGTCCAGCCATTCTCTGGCCCCTGACATATCATCATCTTTCAATGTCTCCCTGCATTAACATCATGAAGACATGCTTAGAAATGTCCCACTCATCTCTGAGACATTTTAAAGTCACACTAACCCCTGTCATAGCTCCATGTGTCAGAAGTATGGTGGTGGCTTGTGCTTCCTTCACTTGTGTTCAAGTTCTCTTTCCAACTACGTCTTCTCAGGAAACAACCTCGTCCCCTGGAAATGCATGTGAAGATGCCCAGTCTTGTGGTTTATACTTATAGTGATGCGGGAAACAATGTCATCCTCTGGAGGAGATGCATGTGAAGGTGCCCAGTCTTGTGGTTTACATTTATAGTGATGCGGGAAACAACCTCATCCTCTGGAGGAGAAGCATGTGAAGATGCCCAGTCTTGTGGTTTATATTACAGTGATGCAGGAAACAACCTCATCCCCTGGGGATGCATGTGAAGATGCCCAGTCTTGTGGTTTACATTTATAGTGATGCGGGAAACAACCTCATCCCCTGGGGATGCATGTGAAGATGCCCAGTCTTGTGGTTTACATTTATAGTGATGCGGGAAACAACCTCATCCCCTGGGGATGCATGTGAAGATGCCCAGTCTTGTGGTTTACATTTATAGTGATGCGGTGGCACAGAGCACAAGAAAGATTTTTTTTTTATCAAAAAAGGAAAGCAAGATATTTGATGGAACATACATTTAAGACATACCTGTTTATTTACAACGAAGCCAATTGAAACAGCTACAAAAGGAAACCTTAAAAAAAAAATTCACAAACTAACCAAGACAGAATTTAATTTCAACAAGTACTTATAAGATTGTTTTCAAATTAATTCTCATAACCCTTAAGATTGAATATGTCGCAAGTTATGCATATAAATTGGAGAAAGATGCACGATCTATACACACACACACACACACACACACACACACACGATGCTTCTACAGACATTCACATATTCACATGACTGAAAGGGTCATAAGGACCTGGCAACAATGTCACTTCCCTCAGTAGCAGGGAGACAGAAGTGGGGCGGAAACTGTCCTACACACCACGCTACAGCTCTTGAATGTCAAATACTGTAAATAAAGTAGCTATGTACAGGCTTTATTTTCAAAATGCAAATTTAATGCTGGTCACAGGTAAAAAGAAAACATTCCTCCCATTTTCCCCACCAGCAATAAACACAGGGAGAAATAAATTGTTTGTTCCTATTCTCACATGAAATTTGGAGCTGAATGTTAGAAAAATAAACCGTTAGCCACAGTGATTTTTACGGCTTCTAGTTTGTACACAGATATTATATTCTCACTGGAATTCTAAAAAAAAAAAATTAGGCAAAATAGGTTCAAACATAACTGAGATAAACCTTGGTCCTCTGGAAAAGCAGTCAGTGCTCTTAACCACTGAGCCATCTCTCCTCCCTGGGTTTAAGTAGTTTTAAAACTGAGGCTGAGAAAGACTAACTTGTGCGAAGTCACAAGCCAGTGAATAAGCTGGAGGATTCAAATCTCAGCCTGCAGATCCTAACGCCCACACCCCTTGTTGCACCCTCTTTTCTCTCTGAGTAAACTCTGTACACTGTGATCAGTGCAGTTACCAGCTCCTTTACTGATCTCAAGCGCCCGTGGCACTCCTCACTCGTTTAGATCATCACAGTAACAAGGAGTGGAGGCCAGGTACACCACACAAGGCCAGCCGGCACCACTGCTTCACTCATCCACATCTCAGAAAACACTGCACAGTGCACTTAGCTCCTTCACTACATTTTCTGGACGGTTTCTAAAACAATTTATACAATTTCCTAAAGTGCGTGTTGCCTTGACAAGAGAATTGTCCCCTACTCTCCCTCCCCAAAACACAGCAGTAATGACATTAAAGGTGTACCTATGCACAAAGTTGGTCGTGCCGTCAATAGGGTCAATGATCCACGTGGGCTTGTCGGTGAAGACTGTCTTTTCCCCAGCTGCCACAGATTCTTCCCCAATGAAACTGAAAGCAAGAAACACAAACTTCTAACCTCTACATTGGATTCAAGACTTTAACCTTCATCTCCTAAGCTCCAAGGTCTACCACTAAGCACAAGCCAAGCCTAGACTATTATTCTAACGTAGCTTTTTTTTTTGGGGGGGGGGGAGGTTTGAGACAGGGTTTCTCCATAGTTTTGGAGGCTGTCATGGAATTCGCTTTGTTGACCAGGCTGGCCTTGAACTTACAGAAATCCACCTGCCTCTGCCTCCTAAAGGCTGAGATTAAACATGTGCACCACTACCACCTGGCCTAGTTTCTTTCTAAAAATAAAAAACACACACACAAACGTAACAAAGCTCTACTTTCCCCAGAACAAAGGCATGTGAAACAGTACAAAATCCTAAACACAATACTGGCATAAACGCAGGGAAACACACGCACATCTGCAAATGTCATCCATAAAATGAGAAATTAAGGAAATACAGTGATTTCAAAAGTAAGAGCACAGGGCTGCAGATGCCTGGATCCTAGCACTCTAGGTACAGGAGAGAGAATAATCAACTCCTGGCCAGCCTGGGCAAGAGTGAGACTTTGTCTTAAAATCAAACTGAAACAAATAAGAAGAGCACAACTTCTCTAGTTCCTATCAAGATGGAGAGTCCATAGAGCACTTTGAGTGTGAGGCTGCCTCCTAACTTAGATGACAGCAGGAGTGACAGCTGCATGGCCTCAGCACTGGCCTGGCAGCTGTCATCTTGTTCATACTGTCTCTCCTTCCCTGTCTCCGAAGACACAGCAGACAGCCCACAGGGCGCCGGAGCTGCCAGCAGACACAGCAGACAGCCCACACGGTGATGGAGCTGCCAGCAGACACAGCAGACAGCCCACAGGGCGCCGGAGCTGCCAGCAGACACAGCAGACAGCCCACACGGTGATGGAGCTGCCAGTAGACACAGCAGACAGCCCACAGGGCGCCGGAGCTGCCAGCAGACACAGCAGACAGCCCACAGGGCGCCGGAGCTGCCAGCAGACACAGCAGACAGCCCACACGGTGATGGAGCTGCCAGTAGACACAGCAGACAGCCCACAGGGCGCCGGAGCTGCCAGCAGACACAGCAGACAGCCCACAGGGCGCCGGAGCTGCCAGCAGACACAGCAGACAGCCCACACGGTGATGGAGCTGCCAGCAACCACAGATGCCAAGGGATTCTCCCGACCTACTGGCGTTGTGGTGGCGGCACCTCTGGACCACTGACTAAAAGGAGCAGAGACCTCAGTCAAGGTCATGCAGCCCAGCTACTCCCATCTTCCCAACTCTGGCAAAATTGTGAAGCAGTATGTCTGTCACTTAGAATTATTTTAATAAGAGTGACAGGTGACAGAGAAGAGCCACTAAGTTAATGAGAATATAAATTTACTGACAAAAATGACTGTCCATGCTACCATAAGTTGAGTTTATAAATGGCGTCTGACTTCACTGGCTTGCTTCTCTCCTGTTTTATTTTTTGACTTGTTTATTGTTTCAACTGTCCTAATAAATATTTGTCCTCCTTCCCTTTCCTCTTACTTCTAAGCTGTTTTATTTAAGGAAGTATGTTCAGTCACAACTCTAAAACATTTCTCCTTCTCGGTGGCTAAAAGACTGGCAATGGCTGATGCCACAAGAAGGTAACTTTTAATTCTTAAAAGTTCTGGGGATCAGACTCGCGGACTGGCACACACACAGAGTGCTCGACAGCTGACTGTTTCCAGGCTGGAGTTCCCTGAGACCACACACACTATCCAAAACAATGGCCCAGACATCACCCCAGGTGTCTTCTCCCTGCCCAGCACCCTCAGTTAAGCTCCTATTCAAGCCTAAGTCAACCCACAGTTTGACATAGCACTAGCCTTGCACACAGATTACAACCTAGGCTTAATTTTATCACTTTAAATTGGTGCCAGAAATACCTGTGAGATGGGTACTTTTCCTTTATTGAAGAGAGAAGCATTTTTTCAACGTTCTGGTCAGTAACTGTAACCAAGTCAGCTGGAGAACTTTTAATCATGACATTCATCTCGTTTTGTAGAGCTTCACGAATCATCTAAAAAGAAGTTTTTGGTAAGCAAGTAAAAAAAGATGTAAGTAATTTTAGACCAAACAAAAGGTAAATTACAAAAATAATTTCAAGCATTCAATCAGTCTTACATGATGTTCTTAAGTTTTTCTTTCAGAAATGTCAATGAAATAAGGTAATTTTAGAGTTATGACCTTCTAGGTAAAATATTACATAATTACATATCCTATTTTAGATTCAGGAATGTCTGAATCTAAAGCTTAACAATACAAACTGAAAATCCCAGCTGTAGTGCCAGTGCTTGCCCAGCACGCACACAGTCCTAAGTTCCATCCCTAGTGCCACACATGCACACACATGCATTCACGCACGCACACACATGTACATGCACACACACACGAGCACGCACACATATGCACGCACGCACACACACACGAGCACGCACACACATGCACACACATGCACACATATGTACATGCACACACACACACGAGCACGCACACATATGCACACACACACACACTGTATTTAAAGTGTAAAACAGCTAATATGAATCTGAATATGCTTTGGCAAACAAGGCTGTACTGCAATCTACACACATCCCATTCTTGGCACGAAACTAGTCCATACCTCTCCAGCTCGTCTTGCAAGGGTGACCGCATAGTCCATGCATTCCTGCCAGGGGTCCGCCATCTTCTGAACAAGTTCAACACAGGCAAGCACAGACAGTTACAAACTCTGCAAGCATCTCAACTAGAAACTCACCTCTGATTCACCTTCCCTGGTTTACAGTTCAATGCTTTCCCCAAGATATAGGCCTAGTAAAAATCATTTTGAATTATCACATATTTCACCTGCATAGCAGAAACCTTTTTTACTGTTATTGTTTTGAGACAGTGTCTCATAGTCTAGGCTAGTCTCAAACTCCTGATCCCCCTGCCTCTACTTCCCAAGTTCTAGGATTACAGGCATATGCCACTATACCCAATTAATATAAGAATTACCAAAGAGGGGAAAAAAAAGTTCTAGGAAGCTGTCTTCCAAAGTGTCCATACAATATCAAATTTTGGGGAGTGGCCATACCATGTCACATTGTTGGGGTGGTGGGGATCCAATTGAAGCTTAGGTAATAGATACGGTCAAGAAATAGTCTAAAGGTTAGGTGTATGACTAGGTGGGGAACACGATAAAGAGCCCCAGGAAGGCTGAAATAAAAGTAGTTTTGAAGACAAAGGAGCAAAAGATGTCTGTGTTAACTACATTCAGGAAGTGCTTTGCACATGGAATTTTTTTTTTCAAAAAATAAGGTTGTAAAAGTGAAGAACTTAAGGTGCACAGATCAGAAACACTTTGCCAATGTTATATGGGCAGACTTTACAGAATACATACTCAATTCTGATTGGAAAGTTCCTTGCTTTCTGTTACAGCACTCTTGGTGAGGGGAGGGGGATTCCTAGGTCTAAAAATATAATTATAGAAGTAAAGGCACCATTTACTTCCTGGGTGGGCTTCAGGGAGGGGGAAGCATAACCATGTGACACCACAACTTGACCACACGCTAACTATTCCTAGCACAGAGGTTCATAGAAACAGTCACACTCAGAAAAGGTGGTCTTTTTTTATAAAGCCACACTAACTCTGCTTCACAACTGAGAGCAAAGGACACCGTGTTCCTCTTTAGAAGCGTGTGAAATCTCTGCCTCATTGCACAGGCAGAGAAACGCGGGGACACGGAGTATCTACTGGGTGTTGCTTTGTTTTCCTTTCTACTTGAGACAAGTGGGCTTCAAGTTTCCAGACTGATGGCAGGCATATGCCATCATGACTAAATGCCTTTTCCCCATGATACAAGCATTCGTGTAACTGTGTAACAGACCCTTTGTGAGTTGTAAGCTGCTTAGAGCTCTTCAAAAATGCTTTGCAAACTTTATCATTCTTGTTCTTATCATTCTTCTTGTCTCCTCGCAGCCTGACACTTGGCTGGTCAGCTCAAGCCTCTTACAAGCCATCTTGTCTCAACACTAACAGAACACTGTTTCAAAAGACATCCATCCTATCTTCAAAGGACCATCCAGGGAACAGATGTCAGCCAAGAGATATCTGTACAAAAACTGCTGTTGCTCCTCAGCATTTAGTCAGTTCTAGGCATGCGCTATCTTTTCAACCAGTCTGAAGAGATTTCTTGAGGAAAAGGGGACTGATAAATGAATTTTTCTGAGATGCCCTGAAATGGACGGAGGTCCAGAAGAGGGAAGAAATAAAGGAAGTCAATTAGCTAACAGTTGTTGGGGTTTGTTCTTTTCTCGGGGACGGGACTGGGGCAATAATGGAGAACTAAGAAGCCTGTGAGCTGAAATCCAAAAATATCGCCAGCTATAGATCACAGACGCACTTTTTAGCCTTGTTGCTGGTAGTTTACAAAATGTGCCCCAAGTCTTGGCCCTTTTCCTAGCTAGTATATTTAATAAGCCCTTTTATTTCAAAGACCTCTTTGCCCCAGGACCTGTTTTTCGGGGGTCATAGTCTTCACTTTGGGAACAAAGCCATACAGACTTAAAACTGTTTCTGTCCTGTAAAGCCGCTCCACTCCCCTATCACCGCTCCAGACGCAAGAAATCACCGGATCTGGGCCTGTCCACCCCTGACCCAGGGAACTTGCCAGATAGGTCCGCAGAGTCGGGCTTGTTCTGCGACCCAGAACCTCAGCGATCAAGGAAGGTGGCCTGGCGAACCCGCTCGGCTGTTTCCGGAGTACTACGGAAAGCATACCAGGCAGGAGCGCCCGCCCGCCGCCCCGGCCCAGCATGGGGGCAGCTCGCCTGCAGCTCGCCACAGCCCGCGCCCCGGCTGTCGAATAACGGGGTGCGGGATGTAGGGACAGAAGGGACTTACCTCGCGTGAGCGCACAGCGATGCGCAACTGCCGGGGACGAGGGCTCGGCTCTTCCGGAGGTAACGGGTCTTGCTCGCACAGGAAGTCCCGCCCCTGAGAGCCTTCGGGCAGAGCCGGAACCTCTAGGAACCCCGCCTTCACGTCTGGACTCCGCCTGGAGTTGCCAGCTTGAATGTCCTTGGCACTGCAAAGCTTGGTCAGGTTGAAGTTGGTGTATTCTCGCATTCTCCTGCATTCCCTTTCTTTAAGAACCCCCTTTTTATTATGCAAATCTCCACTTTTGTCTTTTCAAGTTTTCCCATTTCCCTTTCTCCCGTCTGGTCCATCCTGCTCTTTGACACAATACATTGGTATTGTGATTGTCATTGTGCAGCTCTTATTATTTGATAAACCACACCTAAAGGAGATTTTAATTTTTGATAATTGGTTGTCAGCACTAACACTCTTCTTCTCAGCAATCCACTTAGATACCTATTGTTGTTTGCTGAGGTCTTGACATGCTACAGGCAGTTGTACTTCCCACCCACCCCAATGCTCAGTTCTAAGGATAAAGCCTAGGGCTTTGTAAATAGTATACAAGCACCCTGTCACCGAGCTACCTTCCCAGATATGAATTTTCAACAGTGTCCCATTAGGTAGCGTAGGTTGGCTCCTGAAGTCCTTGATCCTCATCTCACGCCTTTACTTCCAAAGTTCTCAGATTACAAGCGTGTGCCACCACATCAGGCAGCAGCAGTGTTCTTACATGCTTAAACATAAGTGTTCCAACAATTTCATGAAGAGTCTCTTTATTATACAGATAATGAAACTGAGGCTTGGAGAAATTAAGGGATGTGTCCCAAACTTACACAGCATGAACACAGCACCCTGACTCCAAAATCCACATACAAAGACCAATTTTCTCCATATGGGCAACAGAGGCTCACGTATGGCTCTTCAAATGTTTCTTCACAGCAAATGGTAGGTCATGATGACAGGTATGTTACTCTTAACTGGAAAATTCTACACATATGACCCTCCACACGAGGACTACAATGTCCCTGCATAACTCCTTGTGAATTCATTGCCTCTCTTGATTTAATCAAAAGACAAGAAATTATTAATGATGTGCAACATGTCTCAGCGATGAGTGGCAGGAATGGTGAACCCAACTTGTAAACAATTATCACAAAGAGCCAAAACTTGTCCTTGCTCTTCTGAGGAATGAAACCTTAAGAGACTGATTTGGAAGCTGGGCAGTGGAGGCTCATGCCTTTAATCCCAGCATTTGGGAGGCAGAGGCAGGCAGATCTCAGTGAATCTGAGGCCAGCCTGGTCTACAAAGCGAGTTCCAGGACATCCAGGAATATTACACAGTGTAGTAATAAGAGCGGCGGGGCTGCGTCCCCAGCACCCCGGCCGCCTGGCTAGCTTATGCCCTGAAATAACAACACACAAACTGTATTCATTTAAACACTGCTTGGCCCTTTAGCTCTAGCCCTTACTGGCTAATTCTGATATCCCAATCAAGCCATCTCTAATAATCTGTGAGCACTGGTCTTAGGGGGAAGATTCTAGCCTACGTCCATCCTGGGTCGGAGCTTCATCGCGTGTGTCTGCCCGGGAGCAGGGCATGGTGTCTCTCTCTGAGGCGTCTGCTCCCGAGAGGAGAGCTGTCGAGTCTGAGCTCACTTCCTCTTCCTCCCAACATTCTGTTCTGTTTACTCCTCCCACCTATGTTTTAACCTATGAGGGCCAGCCAAGCAGTTTCTTTATTTTTTTAACCAATGATCTTCCTCCATCAGCACAGAGAAACCATGTCTCAAAAAACAAAAACAACAACACTCTCCTCTGCCCCTCCCTCCCCTGCCTCAAAAAATCAAAAAAAAAAAAACCATGAAAGAAAGAAACTAATTTGGATACCTCTATCAAATACTCTTGGTTTTTTTTTTTAAGGTCTTCAACCATTTTAAAATAGAATAAAATCTTATCAAATGTCTGCTGACAGGCATAGATATGTGAGCAAATGAATTCTCTAGGCACGTGAAGAAGTGGCATCTTTAAATCTCTCATGACTTGGTAAAGCTGATAAAATCAATCTTGAAGGAAGATAAATGAGGGACTACATACAGGATTCGTCTACATCAAAGCTGTTGCTAGCTTCCTCCAGCAGATGAGCAGGAACTCCAGTTTTGTTCTGTTTGTCTGTCTATAGCAGCCTAAGCTGCTTCTTCAGAACCACTGTCAGGTAACTCAGGGATTTCAGCACAAGTGGTCCGTTCTGTTGCCAAGTGATTTCTGAACGGGAAGTGCACAGCAGTGTCTGATGTTCTGATTCGGATACGGCAGTGCTGCAAGCTGGCATCACAAAGCACAAAACCCTGCTATTGAGTGTATGAAAGTTGTTTCTGATGGTTGTAGAGACCTCCATACATGATGAGAGAAAAACTCTGAGATGATAAACTTTAAACAGAGAGAAAGAGACAGACAGACAGAGACAGAGAGAACGTGAAGTCTCTGTTGATCTTGGGTTTTACAGATCTGAAAACTGACACATTCTAGGTGTCATAAGGTTGATCATAAGCCACAATTAGAAAGACAGGTTTCCTGGCTTGCAATTGGCAGATTATATTCACTAAGAGATGCCTAGTTAAGTTTGTATTTTATAGATAACGTTTATACTGTGAGCCTCTGAATGGACATTGCTGTTTAAAGGAGTCAAATACTCCAGGGAGGCAATCATTATTTTTAAGATCAGGATAGCCATCCATCATCACACCACCAGGTCTTTTATGAATCCTGTTTTTTATACATGGGACTTAGTGGCATAAGAAAGAACAGATTTGTCTATCTTGTATCAGCAGAAAACAGAAGTTCCCTACTACTACAATACTATAGGCAAGAACATTGACAGGAAAATATTAAAGGCTTAGGCTCCAAACACAGCTATCTAATTGATATTTCAAACTACCAGTATGTATCTGTCAGTGTCAACAGTTTAAAATCAAACAAAACAGTAATAATAACTAAGGAAGCACAGTAAATGTGTGGTTAAATATAATTCCCACGACAACAATGGAGTTGGCATCATTATTTCCACCTTCTTAAAATAAGAGAATTGGACTGTGGGATAATTATTTTGTCTTCAACAACAAGAAAACAGGCAAATAGGGAAAGGCATATCCTTAAGACTGGTATTTCTTTTTAGGGTTAATGGCCACATTGTCTGTGGACAAGAATACAGACTGGTCATAAGTACTAAAAAATGCATCGAAAATTTCAGTCATAAATTTTTTATGATGCAAAAATGTATCCCATGAAGTTTATATAGAGGTGTGTGTGTGTGTGTGTGTGTGTGTGTGTGTGTGTGTGTGTGTGCGTGCGTTTGCAGTGTGATAAATTATAATCCAAAGCCTCAAATATGCCAGGTAAGCACTCTTACTAAACTGCACACCCCTGACCAAAGACCAATCGATTACTTTTTGAAGCATAGTCTTCATTTGAGTACTAGCTTGTGCTTTAACAATTTGTTTGAATAAGCATATGAAAGACATAGTGTATGTAGCAAATACAATAGGGTTTCTTTGCAGGAAAATGTAACGTAATCCAAATAAAACATTAAGATTAATATGGCAGAGAGAAGTCAAAGTCCATTTGGAAGGTTTGGGAAGCAGCGCTGGGAACGGGGAGGAGGCTGCTGCAGACACTGATGAAACATTTCACAGTAACGAGGTGGACTGTTTAAAAAGACAGCGAGGGAGAGACAAGCTTTCCAGATAAGTTCCCGTGCCTTTGGTGTGTAGTATAGAAGTCAGAAGCACACGCGGCTGTGAAAACAGCCTTGCTGTGTTTATTCAAGACAGGCTGCTTCCCAATGAGCTAGTGGGGAGGCCAGACAGAAATCTGCATGCTCATTCCCCGAGTAAGCATTTGCTACCCATTGTAAGGACAGCCTTTCCTTAAAACTCAGGATATACAAGATTCACTTGTTATTTCCATTGCTGTTCCTCATTAAGAGATTGTAAAATCATTACCAAACTAACAACTGCAAGGGTATCTTAATGCCCCTTCTCAATATGTACTGTAGCAGTCAGTGGGTGTTTACTATGGGTAGCATATGTGTGTGTTCTATATAACATATTTATATAATATAGATGTGTAACATATTACACACACAAATATGTAAAACATACAAGTATTAGAAGAAATACTCTCACCTCCACGTCAAGCCTTCGAGCAGATGAAAGGAGACTTTAGAGCAGGCATTGTTGATGCACGGTTTGAACCAGGGCAAGGATTAGGAGTGCTAGAGTTCTAGACTAGGGGAGCTTTCTCAGCTTCTGTGCTAAGGGTTCCTAGTCTCCTACCCTTGTAGGTCAGAAAAAGCAGGAACATTTCACATCCAGAACACATGGCTACTGTAAAAGGAGCCACAGAGGCTTCATATGCCTTGAGCTGTGGGAGAGAGAGCTGAATAATAGCCAGGGCTAAGAAACTATTCAACATCCCACTTTCAATAGCAATCGTTTTGCAAGCAGGAAGAGGCAGCATACAGACCTTAGCAAAGAAATACCCAAACATAAAGCCCAGTGCAGGAACCAAAAGCCCCAAAAGAAGCACGTTTAGGTTAGTCATTCTCAGAAACACCAGTCCCATCCTGAAAGCCAAATAGATCCCTACAAACATTAACGTCAGACTCAGAGGCCGAACTACTCTCTCTAAACAGACTGCTTTTTCGGGTGATCTGTGCTTGATGACCACACCAATTGATACTGGTGTAAGAATGAACAGGAGTGTAGACACAATCTTTAAAACAGGAACATGAAAGACACCTGCTAACCCTAATAGCTTACTGTATATGTAAGAATTGACAGGCATCATTATCAGGGCCAGGGATGTCGATGTGCAAGTCATCAAAATGGCCAAAGTGACATCTCCTTCCAGAAGGAGAGCAAAAAGATAGCCCCCACCTCCTCCTGGGCATGTGCAGGTCATTACAAATCCAAAAGCTTGTGCTTCATGCAGTCCCAAAATCTGAGACAAAAAGAAACCACAGAATGGCATCAGAAAAAACTGTGTCACTGCCCCGAGAACTACTGGCAGAGGTCGTTTCCATACGGTTTGAAGTACCTGGAACTCGATCTTGCAGCCAAAGGCACATTTATTTAAAAGGATCATCGATAAAACAAGCAGCAAGATATACTGATTGACATGCACTGGTGCCTGGAAGAGGCTGTCTTCCGTCTGTCCGAGCACTCTGACTTTAACATCTGTTATCTCTTCAATGAGTCTTTTGTGCCTACCTTCAGAAGTCCAGAGCTGAATGGTCATGTTCGTCTCTCCCGGGAAAGTCTTTAGGCTGAGGGTAAAGTCTGTAACGTCCCACGAGGTCTTGGTCACGTTGACCACCTGCAGCACCTTTGGATCTTCTACCTTCACAAAAAGGTAGCTGGAGTCTGGCCGTTTGTCCTTGTAACTGGACCTTACGATGACAGCTTCCTTTGTCTTTGTAAATGACAGTATTTCTGAATTTTGTACATTCAGGAAACTGAGAAATGACTTCCTTGCTTCTCCTGGGGTCACCAACAAAAGTAGGATTACAAAAGATTTTCCAAACATTGTGAAAAGTTTGATAAACAGTACGTGGAAACTCAAGATTTTTTTTTTTTCAGAAATAGACGGGCATTCTTGCAGGTCTCCAGTGGCAGAATGCATAAATGTGGGTTAGGCAACAGCTGGGGTTTGGTGGGTCAAGGTCCAAGAGGAGGGACCGTTGTGCTTGTAACGAATATAAAGCTCCCTAGTGAGTGACACAGCCAGTTTCTCTGTAGTTAAGGAAACTGAGAAGCCAACCCTTGCATTTAGCAGGTGTCACCACCACAAGCACCCACTGGATCTCTTTTCCTGAGTGCCTTATTACTTGGGGATAAAGTCTTAGAGCCATTTCTTTTTTCATTTTCTTTTGTCCTAAGGAAAACAATAAAAATAAAAGCAGCCAGAGGTATCTACGATAGATACTAATGCTTGGAGATCATTATCACTATCCCATCAAGTCTATCTACTTACATGCTGGTGTGACCAGAGAGTGAGTATTGGGGAGAGAGAAGGAGGGAGGTGGGTTGAGGGAGAGGAAGAGGGAAGGCTGTAGGGGAGAAGGGGGCAGACAAAGAGGGAATTAGTGAAGGTTGACATATGAAGCCAGTTATGAAAGACTAGAAGTCCCTTCCTGCCAAGGCTGTCATCCAACGGAGTTGCACAGAAGGAAAACAAACAACATGAGGTACAAATGTGCCAGTCTGCTCTGAACAGGAGCGGCTGAACTCCTAGCCCTTCCCTATCCCTGGCCCACTTCCACCCGTGGAAATGCTTTTTAAATAAACTGTCTCTTTTTTGACCACCATCCATGTGTCCATCTCTAGTCCAATTCCTTGTTCAGGGACACAAATAACTGGAAGTTGAAACAGCTGCACTATGCACCCTGACTCATGCCTATAACACTCGGGCCCTACACTGAAAGCCATAGTGACCAAGGGAAGTACAACTTTGCTCTCTTGACGTTAGTCATGTGGCTGCCATCAGTGACTACAAGGGCTAACCTCAAGAGCTTCCTTGATGCTAAGAGTTTTCTGCAATTCTAGAGCAATTCTATCCAGCAAAATAAATCCTTAGACTACCCTTGCTATATGTTGCTCAAAAACGTCTGGTGTGGTCACCAGGTAACTTGAGGACATAAGAAGGTAGCCTGGCTAGGGAACTGTTGCTACTGGGCATTTGGAATTCCAGAGTGGAAAGGCACTAACCTTAATTCTAATGCTCTAGTCTTTTACTGTGGGCAGCTAGGGCCACGGGCAGCTATCAACTAACCCAGACATGCCTCCGCTTCTATGGATAAGGAAAAGCAATTCACAAACTCAACTGTGCACTTCCCAAATGAGAGGATGCCAAGCAGTGAGAATTCAAATAAACTCATTACTACAAATGCATATTTTACTTTTGTGGTAGAATAGAAAGTAATGAGTGTCATTGTGGCATTTTCAGTTTGACAGATTGTTTTAGAAAAGTATGTAGGTGTCACTCGGCATTATTAATTTATTTCCATGTAAGACATTAAGAAAAACCAAAGACATATTTACCAGTGGCAAGAACAGGGACTAGGACTAAGCTCTGCTCAATGACAGCAGTAATTTTCCAAAGGAACTTTAAGAATAGAGTATCACTATGAATCTCTCGCTGGCTGTCCTGGAATTCACTATGTAGATCAGGCTGGTCCTAAACTCACAGATCCATCTTCTGCCGTCTGAGTACTGGGATTTAAGGCATGGCAGCCACCCGGTTTCTCAAGGAACTTTAAAGTGACAGAAACACCTGCCACTGAGAAGACGGAAGCAAGGGAGTCACAAGCTTAAGGCCAACCTGGGCTACACAGTAAAAACTTGTCAAAATGAGTAAAGAGCCCGATGGGATAGCTCAGTGAATAGAGCACTTACTGCCCGGGTGAACACCTGAGATTGATCCCCAAGACCCACATAGTAGTAAAGAACCAGATCCCCAAGTCATGCTGTGGCATGTGACTTAGAAGAGAAAATGACACGTACCCTTACAATATATGACCTAGTACCTTAAGTCACAACTTTGATGACCAGATCCAAGCAATATGAAGTATTTCTTCTCATGTGCTTTAGATAGAGTTGTTATTTTGTTTCTCTTTCAGGTTCCCCCAACCTTTCTTCATACTGAAAAGTTTGGGACTGACACCTGAACACTGCAGTTGGAAGAATCCCATGGCCCAGCTCTCTCATGTATTGCCCGTCCTTTAGGCTGATGCCCATTGGTATCAGGGATTTAGTTCAACCGTTCATCTGCACTCCTCTGCTATGTTTTCTGCGTCTCCCAGGACAATTTTAATTGTCTGCCGGCAACAGAAACACCAGGGAGGATGGGGACAGTGTAACCTTACCGTTTCATTAGGCAAACTTACTCGAAGCCTTGGGTTTTCTGCTTTCAGAGTGATTTGGACACAGGGAGTTAGGGGGACTGAGACTCTCATCCACACCTTGTCCTCTTTAGACTACGCATGCTTTAGCTGCCAGTTTTTCGTACCCAGGATGTTTATTCCTGGCATCCTTCAGAGCTGCAGGCTCCACCACCTAGGACCTGGCCTTGCTTACAGGCAGTGTACTAACTTTGTCGGGCCCTCTGGATATCGCCTTGTTCCTTTTGTCTGATTAAGGAGAGAAGACATTTTTTCATCCTTTCTAGGTTTCAATTCCTGCCAGCCTCATTTGCCCTCTTCTCAAAAGGTATTATTCTTTTGGCATTTAGTTTTCATTCAGTTATATGGGCTGACCACCTATTGTGTGCAAGTAATTACAATTAATATAGGCACTGGTTGGAAAACTTTTTGGCATCTCAAAAAAACAAAACAAAACAAAACAAAATGAACCCAAACCAACTTGTGGTATATGGATTTTTAAACATTATTTCTCTCACTAGTGTGATAGTTTCCCATTAAACAGCTATTGGGACGTGGCTATACTGTCTGTGCACTTATTTGCAACTTGCCTTACAATTTTGTGTGACAGTTCTAAGTGTATATCTACATATCTTCACTGTACCTAAAATGGCAATTAATGTATAAAGTAGGTATGCAAGTAACTCTGTAAAGGAATGGATTCAGAACCTGATAAAAGCCATAAGTTATCACTGTTTATCACATGGACATGAAAAAGATAGACCTGAAGAAGACCAAAGGAGCATGTGAGTTTATTCGTTTAATTAAACCTAAAGTCATGAAAATTGGCACAAAAGGGGCGGCAATTAAAAATACTTTATTTCCTCCTTTAGTGCAGTCCTTGATACACTACAGACAGAAACATTCATTCTCAAGTATAGACAAAAAGCATTCCCCAAAAGGACTTATTTCAATTTATAGATAAAATGCAATAATTGCTGGTGTATATTTTGCTTTGGTGCAATGAAAGAGATTGTAACAAAGCAGTCTATTCATTGCTCTTCTCATTTCTCTATTCTCATACATCATACCAACAAAAACATGAGTCCTATTGGAGAAAATTCATTACCTGAAATATATTCAGTGCAATTACATGATATCAAGAAAATAACTTTCCCTTCTCAGATATGAGGTTTCTTATCCAAACCCTTGGAAGACTGAGTGAGAGGAAGGCTGAGATCCCACAATTCATGTGCATATTCCAATCACACATCATCATTTAGGTATACAGAAGGTTGTGTATTCTGGCCCCTTAGTCAATTAGGCTTAATCGTAGGGCCTGGTTAAAACAAAGACGACAAGTACCGAAGAATCTGCCACCTGCGTCCTCCTCTGCCATAAGAATGGAAAAACAGCAATAAAAATAATACGTTGCCATAACTACTAATACATAGTTCAAATTTAAAACACAAAACCTGGAACTTAGTAGAAAACAACTGATGTAAATTATGATCTAATAGAAATAAATTATAAAAAAGCAACTTCCAGAGTTTTTACAAAAGTATCTGTCATAAAAGAATGAATTCTGCTTGTAAATTCTGGCTCTAATCCTTGAATGACTATTACAAGTAAGAGTCAACATTTTTTAAATACTGCTCTTCATCGTTAAGATACTCCAAAATAACATTTCCTCCATTATGTAAAGGGCAATCCTCCTTGGTGATCCAGGTTTCCAAAGTATGATCCAAGGGCAAGGCTTCTCCTGAAGGGACGTGACACAGCCGCAGCTTCTGTCGAGAGAGAAACAAACCACACAGTGGTAGGGACACGCACTTGTGGCCAGAGCTGGAAGGAAGGGTGGTGGCTGCACGTTACCTTTGCCATCAGCTTGTTGTTCTCATTTCTGAGACCGGCTAGAGAGGCTGCGAAGTCCACCACCTTCCCAATGCTCCAGCGGAGGCAAAAGAACATGGCTTTGCTCTTCTCTTTGCTCCCCTTCGGTAAGTAAACCTGAAAGTAAATTCTCTCTGTCTGTGTAAGCAAAAGTTAACATATAGATTAGACACACGAGATAAGACATTTCTTTCAGCTAGTGGTCCCTTTCCTTTCTTCTTTTCGTCAAAGTAGGAAAACGCCATAATGATACAAGTTTCAGTGAGCAAACCAACGGGGTAGCCCATCTAACTAACTGTATGTCCCAAGGACCCAATCCCAAACTCTAGCTAGGTGATCATGTGTTATGACAGTTGTGTGACCTGTTTTATGTTCAGGGCCTGGGGCAGAAGGAGCTCTGTCTCTTCTGTGTTGAGTTCCAGTGGTTCAGACCTGGACTGAGGCTTCCCCTCAGAGCCCCCAGCCACTCCTGAGTTAAGAATGAGTTCCACACAGACAGAGAGAAATTGGGGAAGCTGATGGGTCATTCAAGATCATAGAACCTTAAACATGGGCCACTGATCTGTTCTGTTCAGAAACAAACTGGTTTCTACTGTACTCCTTGGAACCCTGTTCCTGTCATCCGAGAAACAAGGCTTCTGATATAAAACCCTGTTTTTACGTGAATGACTTCTGATATAAAACACCGTTTTTACATGAATGACTTTACTGCTTATTGGAGGCAGCAAGACTTTTGAGAACAAAGAAAAATATTTATTGATAAAACAGTGTTTCA